GAAACATGTCTTATTATTATCAGTGTTGAAAACAGTTGTGCTGCTCCATATTTTTGTGGAAACTGTGATACTTTTTTTTGTATCTTTGATGAATAGATCAAAATCATGTATTTCCAATAGAAATCTTTTGTAACATTAAATGTCTTTACTGTCACTTTCGCTGAATAAATGTATTAAAATCAGTATCTGTTATATACAGAGGCCAAAGCCATTAGTAAATATTCCCCCCAAGGACATGCTGGCATAGTTCATTTGTGTCAGATATCTGATTAGTGGCATGTGTTGATTACTGCTCTCTCTCTCTCTTTATGCTGTGTGCAGGTTTCCTGCAGAAGACCGCTGACCTGCTGCAGGTGCCGTTAGATGAGCTGCAGTCGTGTCTGACCGTGAGAACTCTGCGCGCTGGCAAACAGAGCGTCCTCAAACCTTGCTCTCAGTCGGAGTGCAGTGTCCGCAGAGACTGTCTTGCTAAAGTCATTTACGCACAGTGAGTCGCATAAACTAGGTTAGGCATTTTATGAAGACGCTTATAGCTACAGTAAAACAGCATGTCTTAGGCACAAAAACACACTCTACTGTACATGCTAAATTTTTTATATAATGCAGCATGTAGAATTTTGCATTATTTATAAAATTCAATATACTGAAAGTGAGTGCTGGAGCAAATGAACACATTTAAAGTCTGCTTTTTTATTTACAGGCTGTTTGACTGGTTAGTCACATTCATAAACAACAGTATGTGTGCAGACAGTTCCATGTGGTGCAACTTCATTGGTACATATTCTTATTATTCACTTTTTATTTTAATATATTACTTTCCAGTCAGAATTGAATGTGTGAGATCTTTTATCTTGTTTTCTGAAAGGAATGAAAACACAGTTTAATCCTTGACGGGTGTCTTCTCTAGGTCTGCTGGATGTGTACGGTTTTGAATGCTTCCTCCTGAACAATCTGGAGCAATTGTGTATTAATTACGCTAACGAGAAACTGCAGCAGCACTTTGTGGCTCATTACCTGAAGGCCCAGCAGGAGGAGTATGTGACAGAGGGGCTGCAGTGGTCCTTCATACGGTACCAAGACAACCAGGGC